CAGCAAGGGTACGGCAGACGTAGCAATGGTACGGCAGACACAGCAGGGGTAGATTTCTTTATCCATGTATTCCATCATAAATATATACACTATGTATAGTATTAATAATTAGAGGAGTCAGACTGAAATGGTACAATTCAGAGCCACTCAAAGCAGTAGTGGTCACGACCAATGTCTGTGGAACTCTGCCACTCAGCCAGGTAAGCTGAAGTGATGTCATCTTGGCTGAGGTAGTCAGCTTCCACGTGACTGGAGAGTTGAACTGAACAACAAGCGCAACAATGGGGTCCCAGAACTGCCACACTGAATTTCCAGTTCACTGGTCGAGAAGGCATACTAAATGGTTGTGTGACGAACGTTGTATAAAATATAATATGGTATAAACCTTGGTAATAAATACCGACAAGTTGGTTTAGAAAGACACGTAAGCAAACACTATAACATATTTATTAGAAAACGTTTCGGTCCTGGGACCTTGATCACTTCTAACATACAGAGGTAGAAAGACATTATATATATAGACGGAGAGTGAGATGTGACGCACGTGACCTCTGTATGTTAGAAGTGATCAAGGTCCCAGGACCGAAACGTTTTCTAATAAATATGTTATAGTGTTTGCTTACGTGTCTTTCTAAACCAAAATATAATATAATCGGCGCACACCTCACCTTTCTCTTCCTTTCACCTCTCTTCTTCTCAGCTTCCTATCCTCTTTCTTGTGCTCTGTTCCTCCTCTAGAGACTACACCAAATTCAAATTAAAATTCAAATTCAAAGTTTATTCTCTATAAAGATTACAATGTTGAATTTACAGAATTTGGTTGTTGTGTGGTTTACCACGCTAGAAATTACTCCATACGCCAATGAACTATATTTCAAGTGGCGCTAAACCAGTGTGGATCATTTAGCGCAAGAAGTGGAGGCTCGTACGTTGGTTTGCGTGCAGCCAGCAGTAACAGCCTGGTTGATCAGGCTCTGATCCACCAGGAGGCCTGGTCACAGACCGGGCCGCGGGGGCGTTGACCCCCGGAACTCTCTCCAGGTAAACTCCAGGTAAACTTCGGTCTCCTTTCATTAACTGCGGCCAGGTCTTTGACCAGTCAGACGTAGGAGGAAGTGCTTGCTGCATACTGTTGGAGTTTCTAACAGTCTGCAATAAGCACCGGCCTGAATTCCAACAATGTATACATGCATCTGTCCTTTTATTTGCTGCTTATTATTGTGAGTATTCATTATTAAATGACTGTGTCACTGCAGGGAATGTCCGGTCTTCTGAGTGACAGCAGGGAAGAGCTAGATACCAGTCTATCCCAGCAGCAGCAGCAACAGGAGAAGGAGAAGCAGCAGCAGCAGCAGCAGCAGCAGCAGCAGCAGCAGCAGCGGCAGCAGCAGCAGCAGCAGCAGCAACAGCAACAGCAGCAACAGCAGCAGCAGCAGCAGCAGCAACAACAACAACAACAACAACAAAGGCAGCAATACAGTAAATCTCTCTTCTTGGCCACCAAGGTGAGATGAATCATTTATTACCAGGTAACATTCCTTCTCGTTATCACATTTTGAAGGAGATTCGTTACTTATCTGTAAAATAAGAAAATATTCTTGAAGCGAGAAGACAAGGGTCACATGAAGACAGTTTAGAGAAAATCTGATGCCTTTTCTTAGTAGATATTAGTTAGCTGCAGACCGGGGATAAACAGCGAAAATAATGTTCGTGATGCAAGTGTAGACTAAGTTTTGTTTGCATTATTCTTTATTTCCTTGTAATGTTTCTTATTCCAGGCCAGAGAGCCACCAGGTGTGACTCCAGGAATGCCTCTGCTGGATGGAGACGAGAAAGGATTTCCATTAACTTTTGGAGAAGGCAAAGGATCCCCTTTAATTGCTGCAAAGGATCTGGGTCTCTCTTTAACTGATGCAAAGATCAGAGAATCTCTTTCATCTGGTATACAGAACGTAAAACCGCTTTCATCGAGTGCAGAGGACCTAGGAATCTTTTTAACTCAGACAGAGGACCTAGAACATATTTTACCCAATAGAGAGGTTATAAAACCTATTTTACCTAGTACAGAGGATCTAGGCCTCTATTTAACTAATACTCAGAACTTGGGACATTCTTCACCTCAAGCAGAGGATCTAAAATTCCCGGTGTCTGATGTAGCAGAACAAGGACTTCCTCTACTGGATATGAAGGACCTAGGAACACTTTTTCCGAATATAAGCAAGGATAATGTTAATTTGTTGAAGACCATACTGACGGGAGAGGCCCTGCAGGTGACACTCACACCTACTGACGAAGACTTTGACGAGACCCTGGAGATAATGTATATTCTGAGGGCACGTCGCTGGCTGCCTAATGCCCCTCTGCCACACCTCAAGGTAAACTAGGTCCTTTTCTTCTTGTATACAGAATGAAAATTACTTGACAGTGGCTGTAAAAAATCACAGGAAGAAGTGCTTAAGCCATTAGGGTCACATTGCGCCTGGTAATTCACATTTAACCCCTTCTCCCCACCCAAAAAAAAAAAGAAATAAAACTACACGATGTTTTGGTCAGTTCTGGACCATTATCATGTAGTAAAGTAATAATGGTTCAAAACTGACTAAAACGTATCACGGATTCCATATTTCTCCCTGACATAGATAGAAGCTCTGGAGGAATCTAGGAGTAGGATACCATTGGAGGTGGAGCTTCACCTGCAGGAGCTGACTTCAAGGACAGAGGAAAGTGTGGAGGCGGCTACTGGCAGGCATTACCTCCATCATTCCTCTTCCAACAGGAGCAGTGCCGCCAGCAACATGCAAGTTGATCCCCACCACCTCCTGAAGATGCTCACCAACATCTTTTCCGTCACCAGGAACCATGGTGTGTGTCTCGACTTCATCTTCCACATATCAAATTTCAATCTCTCTCTCACATCTTGTTTATCATCTATGCCTCACTTTATCTGCCCTGTCCTCTATCCACTCATCCTACCTGTCCTATTATCTACTTCGTACTTAAGCTATTTCTAACAATTACAATATTAAAACCTGTCTTTCACACAGAGACGGCTCCCCTCGACAAAATGGCCGCAATGCTCTATATTACAAAGAAATTCGACTCGTTTGGACTGATGGTGGTGGAACATGTGTTCTCTGCTGCTGAGTACATCGCGTGGGTGAGTGTGAGAGCAGACAGGCAGGGAGGGAAGCAAGGATGGAGGAGGTGACTGAGGGAATGGGAGAAAGGAATAAAGAGAAGCAGAGATCTACCTAAGCAGTTAAAACCTCAATTATTATTATCAAAATTCGATAACTTGATTACCCTAACAATCAGTAAGTTAGATGATTGCTAAAACATTCAATAACCCATATAACTACTGCATATATTCAAGGAAAGCTCTCAAACCATGAATGTGCAAAATAAACTCAATGAAAAAACGGGCGCCGTGGGCACAATAAGAGAACATTGCATCATGCAGCGCTTGAGCAATGGGTGTCAATCAGGTTTAATCCAAAGCAGGGGATGGTAACTTTAAGTCCTTGAATCAAAAGCTCTCCAGCAGCATCAAAGAACATCCTTTGTAAGGCCAGTCGGTTAATTACCCCAGTCACTCACAAACACCCTTCAAAGGGGAAGGGGGTCTTGATGCTGATGGAGAGGTCCTAGTCCAAGGAACTGGAGTTATCCTCCCCTTTCCTAGATCAAACCTGATTACCTCTCATTCCCAGGCGCTCTATAACCCCTAACGGGTTTAGCACTTTCTTGTAAATATAATAACTCATCTGCGTCAGTTTGACGAGCCTCTTGAAGGACGGAACATCATCGGGGTGCTGAGTGGACGCTTGTGGGGGACACCTGAGGACGCACCCCTGGTGATAGGTGCTCACCTGGACACCGTGGGTGGCACACCTGGCCTCGTGGATGATGGTTCTGGTCTGGCTGCCATAGTGGAGGCTGCCAGGATCCTCTCTTCCAGTGGATGTTCCTTTGATAACACCATCTTCTTCGTAGCCTTCGACCTCGAGGAAATAGGTGAGTGTGGGAGCGCTAGTGTTTACTGCCTATGCTATGTTTACAGCCTATGTTTTGTTTACTGCCTATGCTATGTTTACAGCCTATGTTTTGTTTACTGCCTATGCTATGTTTACATCCTATGTTTTGTTTACTGCCTATGCTATGTTTACAGCCTATGTTTTGTTTACTGCCTATGCTATGTTTACATCCTATGTTTTGTTTACTGCCTATGCTATGTTTACAGCCTATGCTATGTTTACAGCCTATGTTTCAGGCCATAAAGAACGAAGGATCGAGTCTCCGTCACTCCTTGTGCTGATGTTACCTTCTAGGACTCAACATCATTCATCAGGAAGGATCCCATGATATGGGTTACATTATGACCAATTATAAAAATGATTACATTCATGATGGGGAGCGCTAAACCCGTAGGAATAATGCAGCGCCTGGGGAATGAGAGACAATCGGATTTTATACTAGGAATATGAGGAGTAGCATGAGTTCTTAAGTAGTGCCATTGACTTTTTGGTGGTGGTGCCTACTTACACAGACGACAGTGTGACCACGTCACAGCGTGCCTATTTAAATGTACCAGTTTTAGTTAAGATTCGGATTTTTAACCCGGAGGGTTAGCCGCCCAGGATTTCACTGTAAGCTACGATGAAAGTTGCTGAATTAGTGTTTGTTAGTGCTTGAGAAACTGTGACTCACTGCACCCTTGAGTACCTACCTGGGTGAATGTTTGAGTACTCGAGTAACGACCTGGGTGAATGTTTGAGTACTCGAGTAACGACCTGGGTGAATGTTTGAGTGCTTGGGTAACGACCTGGGTGAATGTTTGAGTGCTTGGGTAACGACCTGGGTGAATGTTTGAGTGCTTGGGTAACGACCTGGGTGAATGTTTGAGTGCTTGGGTAACGACCTGGACATGGGTGCCTCACACTTTAAAAAATCTAAGAAGACATAATTGCTTCAAGCATTATTTATGAGAGGTGCTTGACTGTCCCGTTACCATGGCAACACACCATCATCTATGGTATCAAAAACATTATTTAGAACTTCTGGATAGCTTCTTGCAGGTTACTACACTAGTACTCCACGACCACATGTACTACACTAGTGACCACAAGTACGACATTAGTGACCACAGGTCATCGCCCGCAGGTACTCAAGGATCGGTTCTCTTCGTCAAGGACTACCTCACAGGGACGGTGATGGACAAGTTCAACATTACTAAACTCACTGGCGCCTTCATCCTTGACTGTGTGGCTACCTGGGACCCCAAACCACACACTCAGGTCAGTCTCAGGTCAACCTCCACATGAGTCACCAGGTCAGCTTTCATCAGGTAAATTCCCATGTCAGTCTCCAGGCCGGTCTTAGGTCACTTCCAATAAGTCTTACTGAATGTAGGGCTGGTGAAGGGTTCTTAATCCAAGGAATTGCAGCCCATCCTCCTACTCATCTTCTTCCTTGGATCGAACCCGACTGCAGTCCCAAATAAATCAACTTTATCTTACCTGGTATAACCTGGTACATCTCTCTCCGACACAGGTTTTCTCACCAACCTGGTATAACCTGGTACCTGGACTGGAGGTCAGGTTGAGCGAACGTAATTTTTCCGGTGACTTCACTGCCGTCATCTACCGTACACAACTAGACTCTAACCTCGCCTACAGGTCAGTGGTAACTACCCATCTAACACCAATGTACATTGTACCATAAGTCTGGAACCACAGTATATTACTGCATCGTCAACTTTCTCACATTACCATGCACCGTGTACTTGTTAACAGTAGTCATGTATCAGTAATAATGGTAGACACATTCAATACCTTCTATAATATTATTATTATTATCATCACCTCAAAGTCAATAAGCAAGTAGGTTTATTCATGTTTATTTACTCTGTCTTTGGATGATTACAATTGCTTGTTAATATGTGTAAGCAACCTAGGATAACCAAAAAACAAGTCTTATTTCTGTCTAGTGAATACAGCATCATTATTATCATTAGATTCATGGGACAGCTAAATACGTAAGGGTCACACACCGCGAGTGGCCTTACGCTATGGAAGGCATTCAGACTTGATATAAGGAACTGGAACACAGGTCCAGTTCCTCAGATCAAGAGCTCCTCACCAGCATCGTGGAACCTCCCTTCAGAGGTTCTTATATAAGACCGTAATAACACAGTTGCGATCAAATAACGGAACGGCTGGGGTTAATATGTGTAGATTACCGAGGATAACAAAAATAAGTGTCATATACTGACAGGTTAGTTAGTCACACCAGACCCATGGTGTGGGTGGTAGTCACACCAGACCCATGGTGTGGGTGGTAGTCACACCAGACCCATGGTGTGGGTGGTAGTCACACCAGACCCATGGTGTGGGTGGTAGTCAAAGGATTACAGAGGTACATAATGGGTCCAGGGACTGGGCCCCACAAAGTTCTTATAGTTGAACCAGTTGCAAACGTAATGAACTTAAACTCACAGGCCGGTAAGGTTTAGGAATCACTTTTAATGGGTTCAGTCCCCACCAGTTCCCTGACCTGAGGTTCTTGTTAAAATACGTGGCAGAAAAGTCTCAAGGTCATGAATCTATAACAGATGACTTTGGAAATGTCAGGGTAGACTCTGAACACAGGAATCTTCTCAAGGATAACAATGTTCACTATGATGTCAAAAACAAAATCATTTAGCGTTTTATGGCAAAAAGACGATTCTAGAGGGTAAAAACAAAAAGGAAATATTAACGCAGCAGTTCAATCAGCTTACAAAACCATTATTATATTCACACTGTCAGACACGGCAACACGTACATCATTATCATATTCACAGTGACAGCGTCAGTGTGGATTTCCAAGTCCTCTTCTTCCTATCTTTGTCATGTATTGCCCAGGTTTGCGCACTACTACAGAGCCTTGGGCCAGGAGCAGTACAAGATAGAGATGATGGCTCTGCAGGAGCTGGGTATTGAACTACCCAGCGTATCTGTACTTCAGAACAATTTCGACTTCCTTCGCTCTGATCACTTCCGCTTCTGGTATGCCAACCATACAATGCCTTCAAGCAATATCACAGTCACCACCATCCCCGCCATTCTACTCACCGATACTGGTGAGAGAGAGAGAGAGAGAGAGAGAGAGAAAGAGAGAGAGAGAGAGAGAGAGAGAGAGAGAGAGAGAGAGAGAGAGAGAGAGAGAGAGAGAGAGAGAGAGAGAGAGAGAGAGAGAGAGAGAGAGAGAGAGAGAGAGAGAGAGAGAGAATGAGAGAGGAGAGTTTATTTCTTAATTACTTCAGTAGTTAATGGTTGATGCCTCTTAGGGCGAGGATAATGTAGCTGAGGCAGGCAGCAGCTCTTAGCTTGTAAATAAAGCTAGGAACTCTAAATCTAGCCTTGTAGAATCCTCTGTAAATAAAGTGTCGTTTGTGTGCTGATAAATTTGTTGATGTATAAGCAAAACACGTAATCGTTTGAATCCATTCCATAACTAGATAATGACTCTCCTGATCGGTTTCAAATTTTAAACACTCGTGTTGGCTTCCTGAGCACAAGACTCTTGCTGTTGTTGGCTGCTGTAGGTCCCAGTTTGCCAGTTTTATTGAATTAATAGTTGTATTAATGTTTATTCAATGCCTAAGGAATGCTTCTTCTGATTGGTTTCAAACTATTATTTACGATGCATTCAGTAAGAAGAATAATAACTCATAAGTTTAGAATGAATTAGTGCCAATGTGAAATGTTCTTGAAATTGTTTAAAAACTTTGAATCACTGAAATCGGATCAATTACTAAAGAATGAATTTTCTGATCGTCTTCAAACTTTTACTGTTGGTGGACTTTATTAAAACGGCACATTTTTCGGTTTGTTTGCAATCGTGTCATTACGATTTTGTGAGTCATGGCTTCTCTCGTTTATTATGTTGAGTGCTGCTCTATGTGGGTGCTGCTCTATGCACCAGCCTCATAGGCTATTCCCAATTTTTTTTTTACGTGAGAGACGTGAAGACGGGATCGCACATCGACCGAAATACATTTTTATTTTTTCTACTCAAAGGACCATTCCGTGGGAGGATGCAAGAATGTTACCACGGTCCATGTGATGGTCCAGAGATGGTTCAGGACCTGGCAGACCTCGGTCTGCTGACCAAGGTGACGCAGGCGGTGGTGTGGACCTTGGCAGAGTTGGCCCGGGGCCGCTGTGGTCCCAGGGGAAGGTTCACTACAGACATGATCTTCAGGTTCCTCACATCCCCAGGTACATCAGGCGAATACTATCTACCTGTACCACCTTCAGGTACCTATATCTTCAGGTCCCTATTATTTTCAGGTACCTATATCTTCAGGTCCCTATTATCTTCAGGTGCCTATCATCTTCAGGTACCTATTATCTTCAGGTGCCTATCATCTTCAGGTACCTACCATTTTCAGAGTAACTAGCATCCTCAGCGCACCTATCATCTAAATTAAGATACTTGTCTTCATACACCTATCACATTCAGATACCTAGCAACTTCACCTACCTATCATGTCCAGGTACCTCTCCTCTGTGACCGCCCAGGCTGAGTGAAAGGTTTACCTGGAGTTTACCTGGAGAGAGTTCCGGGGGTCAACGCCCCCGCGGCCCGGTCTGTGACCAGGCCTCCTGGTATAAATATACCGACAACTAATAAATAAATAAATAAATAAAGTTTATATCTTTGTAAGGTTACAATGTGTAATTACAATTTTGATTTTCTAAGTACAAAGATGACCAATATCAAGAATATTATTATGAATATTATATAAATATTATTAGGCTTCGTATCCCTCGCTGGGAGCTGTGTTAAGTCTCAATGTATTTTTAAATAAATTATTCAAAATGAATTCAGGGCCGGATTAAGGCATGGGCTTCAGGGGCTGCAGCTGGAGGGCCTCCCCTAGCTGGAGGGCCTCCCCTAGCTGGAGGGCCTCCGCCAGCTGGAGGGTCTCCGTCAGCTAGAAGGCCTCCGCCAGCTGGAGGGTCTCCGTCAGCTAGAAGGCCTCCGCCAGCTGGAGGGCCTCCACAAACTGGAAGGCCTCCGCCAGCTAGAGGGCCTCCGCCAGGTGGAGGTCCTCCACCAACTGGAGAGCCTCCAGAGATTAAATGAAGTGTTCACAGTTACTACTGAAAGTTTATAATTATAGTATGTTATCACATCACGTATATGATGAACTGTTGACTTTTGTGATTATTTTTTTTTCACTGGGAGCCTCGCAGTATCTGTAGCCCAGGAGCCTCACAGTATCTGTAGCCCAGGAGCCTCACAGTACCTGTAGCCCAGGAGCCTCACAGTACCTGTAGCCCAGGAGCCTCGCAGTATCTGTAGCCCAGGAGCCTCACAGTATCTGTAGCCCAGGAGCCTCACAGTATCTGTAGCCCAGGAGCCTCACAGTACCTGTAGCCCAGGAGCCTCACAGTATCTGTAGCCCAGGAGCCTCGCAGTATCTGTAGCCCAGGAGCCTCACAGTATTCTGTAGCCCAGGAGCTCACAGTACCTGTAGCCCAGGAGCCTCACAGTACCTGTAGCCCAGGAGCCTCGCAGTATCTGTAGCCCAGGAGCCTCACAGTATCTGTAGCCCAGGAGCCTCACAGTATCTGTAGCCCAGGAGCCTCGCAGTATCTGTAGCCCAGGAGCCTCACAGTACCTGTAGCCCAGGAGCCTCACAGTATCTGTAGCCCAGGAGCCTCGCAGTATCTGTAGCCCAGGAGCCTCACAGTATCTGTAGCCCAGGGGCCTCACAGTACCTGTAGCCCAGGAGCCTCGCAGTATCTGTAGCCCAGGAGCCTCACAGTACCTGTAGCCCCCGGAGCTCGCAGTATCTGTAGCCAGGAGCCTCACAGTATCTGTAGCCAGGAGCCTCACAGTATCTGTAGCCCAGGAGCCTCACAGTATCTGTAGCCCAGGAGCCTCACAGTACCTGTAGCCCAGGAGCCTCACAGTACCTGTAGCCCAGGAGCCTCACAGTACCTGTAGCCCAGGAGCCTCACAGTACCTGTAGCCCAGGAGCCTCACAGTACTGTAGCCAGGAGCCTCACAGTACCTGTAGCCCAGGAGCCTCACAGTACCTGTAGCCCAGGAGCCTCGCAGTATCTGTAGCCCAGGAGCCTCACAGTATCTGTAGCCCAGGAGCCTCACAGTATCTGTAGCCCAGGAGCCTCACAGTACCTGTAGCCAGGAGCCTCACAGTACCTGTAGCCCAGGAGCCTCGCAGTATCTGTAGCCCAGGAGCCTCACAGTACCTGTAGCCCAGGAGCCTCACAGTACCTGTAGCCCAGGAGCCTCACAGTACCTGTAGCCCAGGAGCCTCACAGTACCTGTAGCCCAGGAGCCTCACAGTACCTGTAGCCCAGGAGCCTCACAGTACCTGTAGCCCAGGAGCCTCGCAGTATCTGTAGCCCAGGAGCCTCACAGTACCTGTAGCCCAGGAGCCTCACAGTACCTGTAGCCCAGGAGCCTCGCAGTATCTGTAGCCCAGGAGCCTCGCAGTATCTGTAGCCCAGGAGCCTCACAGTACCTGTAGCCCAGGAGCCTCACAGTACCTGTAGCCCAGGAGCCTCACAGTACCTGTAGCCCAGGAGCCTCACAGTACCTGTAGCCCAGGAGCCTCACAGTACCTGTAGCCCGGGGACCTCACAGTACCTGTAGCCCAGGAGCCTCACAGTACCTGTAGCCCAGGAGCCTCGCAGTATCTGTAGCCCAGGAGCCTCACAGTATCTGTAGCCCAGGAGCCTCACAGTACCTGTAGCCCAGGAGCCTCACAGTACCTGTAGCCCAGGAGCCTCACAGTACCTGTAGCCCAGGAGCCTCACAGTACCTGTAGCCCAGGAGCCTCACAGTATCTGTAACCCAGGAGCCTCACAGTACCTGTAGCCCAGGAGCCTCACAGTACCTGTAGCCCAGGAGCCTCACAGTATCTGTAGCCCAGGAGCCTCACAGTACCTGTAGCCCAGGAGCCTCGCAGTATCTGTAGCCCAGGAGCCTCACAGTATCTGTAGCCCAGGAGCCTCACAGTACCTGTAGCCCAGGAGCCTCACAGTACCTGTAGCCCAGGAGCCTCACAGTATCTGTAGCCCAGGAGCCTCACAGTATCTGTAGCCCAGGAGCCTCACAGTACCTGTAGCCCAGGAGCCTCACAGTACCTGTAGCCAGGAGCCTCACAGTATCTGTAGCCAGGATCCTCACAGTACCTGTAGCCCAGGAGCCTCACAGTACCTGTAGCCCAGGGGCCTCACAGTACCTGTAGCCCAGGAGCCTCACAGTATCTGTAGCCCAGGAGCCTCACAGTACCTGTAGCCCAGGAGCCTCGCAGTATCTGTAGCCCAGGAGCCTCACAGTATCTGTAGCCCAGGAGCCTCACAGTATCTGTAGCCCAGGAGCCTCGCAGTATCTGTAGCCCAGGAGCCTCACAGTATCTGTAGCCCAGGAGCCTCGCAGTATCTGTAGCCCAGGAGCCTCGCAGTATCTGTAGCCCAGGAGCCTCACACGTATCTGTAGCCCAGGAGCCTCGCAGTATCTGTAGCCCAGGGAGCCTCACAGTATCTGTAGCCCAGGAGCCTCGCAGTATCTGTAGCCCAAGAGCCTCGCAGTATCTGTAGCCCAGGAGCCTCACAGTACCTGTAGCCCAGGAGCCTCACAGTATCTGTAGCCCAGGAGCCTCACAGTATCTGTAGCCCAGGAGCCTCACAGTATCTGTACCCCAGGAGCCTCACAGTATCTGTAGCCCAGGAGCCTCGCAGTATCTGTAGCCCAGGAGCCTCACAGTATCTGTAGCCCAGGAGCCTCACAGTATCTGTAGCCCAGGAGCCTCACAGTACCTGTAGCCCAGGAGCCTCGCAGTATCTGTAGCCCAGGAGCCTCACAGTATCTGTAGCCAGGAGCCTCACAGTATCTGTAGCCCAGGAGCCTCACAGTATCTGTAGCCCAGGAGCCTCACAGTACCTGTAGCCCAGGAGCCTCACAGTATCTGTAGCCCAGGAGCCTCACAGTACCTGTAGCCCAGGAGCCTCACAGTACCTGTAGCCCAGGAGCCTCACAGTACCTGTAGCCCAGGAGCCTCACAGTACCTGTAGCCCAGGAGCCTCGCAGTATCTGTAGCCCAGGAGCCTCACAGTATCTGTAGCCCAGGAGCCTCACAGTATCTGTAGCCCAGGAGCCTCACAGTACCTGTAGCCCAGGAGCCTCACAGTACCTGTAGCCCAGGGGCCTCACAGTACCTGTAGCCCAGGAGCCTCACAGTATCTGTAGCCCAGGAGCCTCACAGTACCTGTAGCCCAGGAGCCTCACAGTATCTGTAGCCCAGGATCCTCACAGTACCTGTAGCCCAGGAGCCTCACAGTACCTGTAGCCCAGGAGCCTCACAGTACCTGTAGCCCAGGAGCCTCACAGTACCTGTAGCCCAGGAGCCTCACAGTACCTGTAGCCCAGGAGCCTCACAGTACATGTAGCTCAGGAGCCTCACAGTACCTGTAGCCCAGGAGCCTCACAGTACCTGTAGCCCAGGGACCTCACAGTACCTGTAGCCCAGGGACCTCACAGTACCTGTAGCCCAGGAGCCTCACAGTACCTGTAGCCCAGGGACCTCACAGTACCTGTAGCCCAGGGACCTCACAGTACCTGTAACCCAGGGACCTCACAGTACCTGTAGCCCAGGGACCTCACAGTACCTGTAGCCCAGGGGCCTCACAGTGCCTGTAGCCCAGGGGCCTCACAGTACCTGTAGCCCAGAGACCTCACAGTGCCTGTAGCCCAGGGACCTCACAGTACCTGTAGCCCAGGGACCTCACAGTACCTGTATCCCAGGGGCCTCACAGTGCCTGTAGCCCAGGGGCCTCACAGTACCTGTAGCCCAGGGACCTCACAGTACCTGTAGCCCAGGGACCTCACAGTACCTGTAGCCCAGGGGCCTCACAGTGCCTGTAGCTCAGAGACCTCACAGTACCTGTAGCCCAGGGGCCTCACAGTGCCTGTAGCCCAGGGGCCTCACAGTACCTGTAGCCCAGGGACCTCACAGTACCTGTAGCCCAGGGGCCTCACAGTGCCTGTAGCTCAGAGACCTCACAGTACCTGTAGCCCAGGAGCCTCACAGTACCTATAGCCCAGGGACCTCACAGTACCTGTAGCTCAGAGACCTCACAGTACCTGTAGCCCAGGGACCTCACAGTACCTGTAGTCCAGGGACTTCACAGTACCTGTAGCCCAGGGACCTCACAGTACCTGTAGCTCAGGGACCTCACAGTACCTGTAGCCCAGGGACCTCACAGTACCTGTAGCCCAGGGGCCTCACAGTACCTGTAGCCCAGGGACCTCACAGTACCTGTAGCCCAGGGGCCTCACAGTACCTGTAGCCCAGGGGCCTCACAGTACCTGTAGCCCAGGGGCCTCACAGTACCTGTAGCCAGGGGCCTCACAGTACCTGTAGCCCAGGGGCCTCACAGTACCTGTAGCCCAGGGGCCTCACAGTACTGTAGCCCAGGGACCTCACAGTACCTGTAGCCCAGGGACCTCACAGTACCTGTAGCCCAGGGCCTCACAGTACCTGTAGCCCAGGGGCCTCACAGTACCTGTAGCCAGGAGCCTCACAGTACCTGTAGCCAGGGACCTCACAGTACCTGTAGCCCAGGGGCCTCACAGTACCTGTAGCCCAGGGACCTCACAGTACCTGTAGCCCAGGGGCCTCACAGTACCTGTAGCCCAGGGGCCTCACAGTACCTGTAGCCCAGGGACCTACAAAATCTTAATCCGGCTCTGAATGATGCATATTTTTCAACTTTCCTAAACTGATCACTCAGATTTTTGGTAATCACACCCATATATATACTGGCGGGTGCCACCCACGCTACCATACTCTGAAAAACTTCTCATTTCTCCTGTTACTGCCCTTGCAACATTGCATAGCTCCTGATGGCGCACTGAGAAGTGTGAAAGTACTTGAGCTTAAGATTTCCCCCCCCCCGTGGCTTGTCTTGCACTGTTAAGATCGCCTGTCTGCGATTGTTTTGCATATATATATATATATATATATATATATATATATATATATATATATATATATATATATATATATATATATATATATATAATGTGTGTGTGTGTGTGTGTGTGTGTGTGTGTGTGTGTGTGTGTGTGTGTGTGTGTGTGTGTGTGTGTGTGTGTGTGTGTGTGTGTGTGTGTGAATAGGGGCAATAAACCACATCTTATACATTGCAGATGATGTTTTCTATCAATCTGTCCACGACGATTTGACACCCGTGTCCAGCCCTCCAGTGTCCAGCCTTGCTGTATCCGGCACTCAGACACCCGTGTCTAGCCGTCTTGTGTCCAGCCTTGCTGTATCCGGCACTCAGACACCCGTGTCTAGCCGTCTTGTGTCCAGCCTTGCTGTATCCGGCACTCAGACACCTGTGTCTAGCCCTCCTGTGTCCAGACATCCCGTATTCAGCCTTCAGACACACTTATCTAGTTCTCCTTTATCCAGCCCTCATGCACAAGTATCTAACCATACTATGTCCAACCCTCCCGTATCCAGCCCTGAGAAACAAGTATCCAGCCCTCTTGTGTCCAGTCCTGTGTTCAGCCATCAGACAAATGCATTTAGCCTTCCTGCATTCAGATCCCGCATGCCCAACCCTCCTGGTTCTAATCCTATTATTTCTGGAACTCCCTACCTGACAACTCTAGAACCGCAGACTCAACCATCATTTTCAAAACTACCTTTAAAAAACATCTTATCTCCCTAACACAGCTATGTGAAAACCACCTATTCTCATTTTATATCATGCAAACATCCAAAACAAAATAGACTTACTCTCGTTATCTGTAATTCCCCCTAATTACACTCACCCAAATGACTGTAAACATAAAATTCCTAATATAGCTATTGCCTAATAAATCTTAAGTTAGTTCTAAGTTTGCAATATTGTTTTATGTTTTGTACTACCTCACTATTAGAAATCTAATTAATCACTTCAGTTACCTAACTTTTATATCAATATGCAATAAGGTATATTAGAACGTACTGTTCCATAACCTGTTGTCAATATGGTGTAAGAATTAGGATCAGTCTGCCCGAAATGCCTAGGCATGCTAGAGGCCTTCCTTGTAATTAATATTTTATATGTAAACCACACATTGTAAGTTTTGCAGGGAAATAAACATTTTCATTTTCATTTCATTTTCACATCTGTTTTTATCCCTCCTTTTTCCATCCTGTGTTAGTTCTAGCCCTCCTGTTTCCAGCCCTCTTATTCCCGGTCCTCCTTTTCCAGCCGTCATTCATACATGCACTGTCTCCAGGCACTTACGTCCAGCCCTCAGACACCCGTGTACAACTCTCGGATACCCGTATCCACCTCTAGAACACGTGTATCAAGCCATCATACATCTCTATTCAGTCCTTATACACCCGTATCCAGCACTCAAACACTTGTGTCCAGCCATCAGAATCACGTGTTGGGTCTTCTGTCACCCGTGTTCAACCCTCAGGCACCTGTGTTCGGCCCTCGTACACCTATGTCCAGGCTTCGGGCACCCATGTCTATCCCTTAGATACCCAAATTCTGCCCTCGGACACTAGTATCCACCATTCAGAACTACGCGTGCAGTCCTCGGTCATCAGTGTTCAGCTCTCAGACATCACAGAAGTCTCCTGGATCTTCCTCGTCTTTAGTTTCATCCCATTCGTTCCTACCAACTTCTAGCCGTTGTTGGTCCCATCATGGTCGAAGCTGTTTTCTACGTTACATTCTTGTTCAGGGGTTAATCCTTGTACACCCCTTGAAGCCTTTGAATATCTTTTCAAGCCACTTATAACTGCCTTAACTTGAAGGTACTTTACATCTCCAATACTTCGGCTGTCTCCTCTGTTTTCTACTGAAGAAACCTACTGTGTAGGCGAAACTTTTCGGAATAAAGATACCTAACTGTTGCACATGTGTTTTACTTATCCACAGTTGATCAAAGTTGAGGGAAGCCAACATTACTTCATCTATTATCGTCAAATACCAACTCAGTATTGAACTGATAAAGCCAATTGTTGGCAAAACGTCTTCAAATAAAAATACGTAGATGATGCACAAGTGTTAAATTCCTCACTTCACTGAGACTTGCTCGGTTCTGGTCATCTCTCAAGGAAAGTTTCTTGATGTTGGTGAGGGGTTCTTGCTCTAAGGAATTGGACTTGTGCTCCAGTTCCCTGAATCTAGCAAACCTTTGGCTAATCTTTTCAACATATCATTACAAACTGGCATGGTGCCAGATAAGTGGAAAATGGCAAATGTGATACCTATTTTCAAAGCAGGTGCAAGGTCCTTAGCTTCGAACTATAGACCAATAAGCCTAACCTCCATGAAAGTTAAGACACATGTGCAACATCTGGATATCTTTATTGTAGTAGACGTTTCGCCATCCAGTGGCTTTATCAATACAGATTCTAGGACATAGTAGGAAGACAGTAGAACTATATACAAAAGATGAGGTAATCAGTCCCTCTTTTGTATATAGTTCTACTGTCTTCCTACTATGTCCTAGAATCTGTATTGATAAAGCCACTGGATGGCGAAACGTCTACTACAATAAAGATATCCAGATGTTGCACATGTGTCTTAACTTTCATATTGTCGGTATTTTATACCTTTCTTGCACAACTAACCTCCATAGTGGGAAAATTTATGGAATCGATAATTGCCGAGGCAGTTCGTAGCCACCTTGAAAAGCATAAATTAATCAACGAATCTCAGCATGGTTTTACAAAGGGGCGTTCCTGCTTTATTAACTTTTTTCACTAAGGTATTTGAGGAGGTAGACCATGGTAATGAATATGATATTGTGTATATGGATTTCAGTAAGGCTTTTGTCAGGGTCCCACATCAGAGACTACTGAGGAAAATTAAGGCACATGGAATAGGAGGAGAAATTTTTTCCTGGATAGAGGCATGGTTGACAAATAGGCAGCAGAGAGTTTGCATGGAAATATAAACACATATGCAGTATAATGTGATCCTTTATTGACAACGTTTCGCCCACACAGTGGGCTCTTTCAAGTCACTAACAGATCTATCTGGGGTGGAAGGTAGATCTGTTTGTGATTTGAAAAAGCCCACTGGGCGAAACGTTGTCAATAAAGGATCACATTATACTGCATATGTGTTTATATTTCCATTGTGTCAGTATTTTATACCATTTATTTCCAGAGAGTTTGCATAAATGGGGAGAAATCAGAGTGGGGAAGCGTCACGAGCGGTGTTCCACAGGGGTCACTGTTGGGCCCCTTGTTGTTCACAATCTACATAAACGACATAGATGAGGGCATAAAGAGCGAAATAAGCAAATTTGCCGATGACACCAAAATAGGCCGTCGAATTCATTCTGACGAGGGCATTAGAGTACTCCAGGAAGATTTGAATAGACTGATGCAGTGGTCGGAGAAGTGGCAGATGTTAGTTTAATATGTTTATTATGCACCCCATACCCATCCTGTGGGCGCAGATGGAGTTTAATATAGACAAATGCAAAGTTCTAAATGTTGGACAGGAAAATAACCATGCCACATATAATCTAAATAATGTAGATCTTAATATTACGGATTGCGAAAAAGATTTAGGAGTTCTGGTTAGCAGTAATCTGAAACGAAGACAACAGTGCATAAGTGTTCGCAATAAAGCTAACAGAATCCTTGGCTTCATATCAAGAAGCATAAATAATAAGAGGATGACTAAGCTGATCCCATGTATCAGAAACCTTCCCTATGAGGATAGACTGAGGGCCCTGAATCTGCACTCTCTAGAAAGGCGTAGAATTAGGGGGGATATGATTGAGGTGTATAAATGGAAGGCAGGAATAAATAAAGGGGATGTAAATAGCGTGCTGAAACTATCTAGCCTAGACAGGACTCGCAGCAATGGTTTAAAGTTAGAAAAATTCAGATTCAGGAAGGATATAGGAAACCACTGGTTTGGTAATAGGGTTGTGAATGAGTGGAACAAACTCCCAAGTACAGTTATAGAGGCTAAAACGTTGTGTAGTTTTAAAAATAGGTTAGATAAATACATGAGTGGGTGTGGGTTGGTGTGAGTTGGACCTGATTAGCTTGCGCTACTGGGTCAGTTGCCGTGTTCCTTCCTTAAGTGAATGTGACCTGACCAAGTCTCCTACCGGCTTAAAGCCGGTAGGAGACTTGGACCTGCCTCGCATGGGCCAGTAGGCCTGCTGCAGTGTTCCTTTTTATGTTCTTATGAATGCCTTCCATTTTCCCAGACGCTGAGACCCCAACGGGTTTAGCGCTCCCCATGAATGTAATAATAATCATTCTCGCATCCTTACTGCCAAATAGACATGAAAGCATGACGGTACAGAGAAACACATCAGAACTTTGTGGCCCATTCCCTGGACCCATTATGTGTCTCGGTAATCTCTTGTCTACCATTCACACCATGGGTATGGGGTACATAGTTAAGATATTAACCTGAGGAGCATGGCTAATTGTCTGGCTGGGTGACTGTCTGGCTGTTTCACTGACTGGCTGCTTGAATGATTGGTTGGTTGCTTGACTGATTGGCTGACTGCTTGACTGAGTGGCTGGCTGCTTGACCGACTGGCTTCCTGACTAGCTGTTTGACTGGCTGCCTTGCTGGTTGACTAACTGGCTGGCTTGTTGGTTGAGTAACTGGCTGGTTGACTAACTGGCTGGCTTGTTGGTTGAGTAACTGGCTGGCTTGCTGGTTGACTAACTGGCTGGCTTGCTGATTGACTAACTGGCTGGCTTGCTGGTTGATTAATTGGTTGTCTGCCTGAGTGGCTACCTGGCAGCGTGAATGCCTGCCTGATTGCCTGGCTGCCTGACTAACTGGCTGACTGACTGCCTTAATAACTGCCTGACTGACTGCCTGGCTTCCAGACTAACTGCCTGACTGACTGCCTGACTGACTGACTGCCTGCCTGCCTGCCTGCCTGGCTGCCTGCCTGGCTGCCTGCCTGGCTGCCTGCCTGGCTGCCTGCATGGCTGCCTGGCTGCCTGCATGGCTGCCGGGTGCTGCGTCGGCTGCTGGTTTGTTTACAATGTTGACAGGAAGGCCTCCAGCTGCCTTTCCTCGCCTCTTGTGGTCACATTTGTGTAGCAAGCTGCTTCATGGTGCCCCAAGGCACCCGGGGCACACCCGGGCACTGGTCACGTCAGTGGTGAGGGGCGAGGAGATGAGCAGGAAGGCCAGACATGAGGGAGGTGAGGAGAGGGTGGTGGTGGCGGCCCCACAGATGACAGAGGAGTCCATCAGGCAGCTGGTGGCCTCACTCACTGTGGATCAGAGGACGGCACTCATAACCGAAATCCACCTAGTCCAGGCTGTCGAGACTAAGAAGAAGGCAGAAGGTATATGGGGCGGCGGCTGGTAGCTCAGTGGTAGTGCACTTCCCTACAACCTGTGTACCTAAATAAAATTTCTTTGCTTGCTTTCCTTTTTTGTTCTTTCTTTCTATCTTTCTCCTATGGCTTCTGCCTCCCAAAACTTTTCCTGTGTTTTCTCTGGCACTGTTGTTGAATTATTTTCAACTGCTAGGTAGCCCACATAGACTAGTGGTTATTGCTCACTCTTCCTCTGAGCTCTGGTGATTTATGTAGTATTAAAAGCTGAATCATCTCTTGTATCATTCTATCATTGTGGTTTTTACTCTGGCTGTAACCTTAATTCCAGAGGTTTTATATTGCTCTATGTACATGTGCAGTGTTGTATGACCCTTGTGGGTTTAGCGCCCGATACCCTCGCTTCCTTCCCTACCCTGCAGTGCTGTATAGCCCTTGTGGGTTAGCGCTTCTTTTTGATTATAATAATAATAATTGTGGGTTTAGTGCTTGGTTCTGATTAATAATAATCAGTGTATATGTAGAAGATATTAAATATATCATTTATGCAGTTTACATATAGCTCCCATAATTTCCAGTTCTTTATTTACATGAATTTTTAATAGCTTATTAAATAAGTAAAAGTTTATTTAGGTACAGGTCCACATAAGTACAATTATCATACATAGTTCCCTTGTGGCTTAGCGCTTCTTTTTGATTATAATAATAATAATATCATATATAGTAACATATGTTTAGTTTTCTTAGGATAACCCAAGAAAGTCAGTCCAAGTGACTTATTTCCATTGGCAAGTATTGTTATAACTGTTCTTTATGGGTTTATGTACAGTACTGTATATTGTTTTTTTTTGTGATACTACAAACTTTACTTTTCAATGTCCTCAATATTTTTCTACCATTTAATTTATAATAAGTTTCACAGGTCTGTAACTATGTTCATTACTTGCTGTGATCTGCCATGGTAACATTCCCAGGACACTTCACTTGCTGTTAGGTTTTTCTTAGCGTTTGCCTTAAGTTTGGATTGTTTTCCAACAGAGAAGTTGGCATCTTGGCGATGGAGATCACGTTTTGGTCGCCCAGCATCGTTACATGCTCTTGGGCCAGACCCTACAGGGACATACTGTGAGATACCTACAGAATGGCTCCAGAAGAAAGTTGGTGAGTATTAAAGTAAGTAAGATTATTTAGGTATAGGTACACATATTAACATATGGGTACATTACCCAAGATAACCCACAAAAGTCACACAAAGTGACTTATTTTCCTTGTAGTCCTTGTAGTATCTTATTATTTAAAGCCTAGCAGTTAAGTATTTACTGTTAATTTACTCAGGTAGGACTTATAATTTTCACATTAATAATTATCTGATACTTTTAATGTTTTATTTTAGAACAGAATTTGTTTTTTCGTATTTGAAAGTTATGCTGTATAGGTGAAAAAAGTTATGAAGCTGTCTAAAATATTAGTTTGACTCATTTGAAACCCACTCTAGGGAGGTTCCTTGAAGTCTGTGAGGGGGTTTGTGATCCAAGGAATTACATCTGTGCTTCCCTTTCTTGGATCAAACCTGAATACCTCGCATTCCCTCCCAGGTGCTGTATGACCCCTGTAGGTTTAGTGCTCCCACCCATAAATAATAATATTTCAGTCAAAATGATTAGAAGCTTTCAAAGTTGAAAGGCATGGAGATGGCCAGCAGTTTAAATATATAAGAAAAGCTTTACATGTACTGTACTTGTATTTACAATAATATATAGTACTCTACTCAGTAAGCTGGAAGTAATTGTTATGTAGCTAGTCTTACTACTTAATAAGTTTGTCTGAAGTGGTTCTTTTGTTTTAGTGGCAGATATATGTTACTGTGGGCTGTATTTTGTTTAACTGTATATTTCTCTTACAGCTGAGAAGACGAAACCTAAAGCCCCTACTGTAGCAGAGCTGAGACAGTGTAAGGATTCCATGAGTATATATTCAAATTTTAGCATGCAGTTTTATATGCAGTATTGCTTTTTTAGGTATATAGCAGTAGTAACATATTAAAGTGTTGATAATTGAGTGTTTGAAATATAAAACATAGTATACTGTGCTTATGGAGTAGGCTTGCACAAGAGGAACATTGTTAGGAAGGTGTATATTCTTCAGAGCTTACACCCATAATGTTCCTCTGTAATCTTTTGACTACTAGCCACAGGAGGGGTATGGAGTGCATAATAAATATATTAACCTACTCAGAGTCTTAAGACTGAACAAAGTTGCAGTGGTTGGTATATACTGTCTTCTTAAAGCTGTTGATGAATTGGCGTAGCATATACATCAATACGAAGTGCTCTTTTACAGTTTTATGAGAGAGTTGGTTCATTATCTTACAGTATGTACATTATAAATGTACATACTGTAAGATAAAAACTGCTGTTTTGTACATGATCCACCTTTTTCTAATGAGAGAGGAAATACTGTATATATATAATAAATAGAATGTGATATATCTGTTTAATATAATCTTATTGCATAATAAATAGAATATTTAAATAAAATTTCATTATTTCTTTTGGATAGAACCTGGATTTATTATAAAATTTAAAATTTTAATTTGTTCTGTTTGCTTTTTCCTGTTTTTAAGTTATGAACAGTCATAAAAATCTAAAATTTAATAAAGTTGGATTTTGTACTCTGTATAGATTTTTAAAAGAATGTCATAATACAGTAACTGGAACAGTTCACTATTAACCCATAATTTGGAAAGAAAACAGTAGACCATATTGTGGGAGATGGCTGATGTGGAGAAAGGAAAAGTGGACTGAGAACTTAGAACATATATTAACCCTTAAACTGTCCAAACAGATCATCTATGTTCACATGCATAGTGCTCAAAAAGTAGATCTACTTTTTTTACATATTTTCAAATATAACAAAAAAAAAACATAGATCAAAGGTTTTTTTACACATTTTCAAATGTATAGAAACAAAAAGAAGATCTACATTTTATATATATACATTGTACTTTCAAATGTTGAAAAAACGTAGATCTACATTTGGACAGTTTAAGGGTTAATAATTTACTTTATGGGCATTTGAATCCTAAGTTTATATATTGAATATTTTTTATTTATAATTGTGTTACTTAATTTTAGAAATGTGTATTGAGGATCAGCTTGCAATAAATACACCTTTTGAAATTAGTTTATTGCTTTAACATTAGATTATTATTATATCCTTGATTGCATGCATTTGAATATAATATGAAATATCTGATTGTGATGTTCGTACACCTCTAGAAATAGGGCAGTTGAGTGAATGATGGTAAATGTGTTTTCTTCTTTGGGACAGCCAGTGAGTTAAAAGAAAGATGTTTAATTATTTATCCCATTTTACAAATTTTGGTATGTTCATAAGCAGCAAACTCTAAATTAAAACAATTACAATAATAATACTCTACCACAATTACATATTGTGGTAGGGTATTATTAGATTAGAGTGGAAGAAGGGCCAGCACTGCCATATAGTGCTTTTAAGGAAAAACAAGTCTCTATTTCTAACAACATTAGCTCAGTGATGGTTAGTTGTAGGCTACATGTACCCATTTCTAGGGGTCACTGCCTCCATGGCCTGGTTCAAGACTAGAGCAGACCTTTGGAATCTTTTCACAGAGTCATATGGTAGTGATAGTAGTGTATCCTTAACTGGTGTTATCTACATTGTAGTGCTTTGTATAAGGCTGAGAACTAACCAACTTTTCTGTTTGCAGTGGCTGTGCATAATGCTCTGCCTTTTATTGGTTTTGGCTTCCTCGACAACTTTATCATGATAGTTGCTGTGAGTATACCTGGAGTTTACCTGGTATAGTACAGTATTTTGCAATATGGCAGAATGTTTAAATCTTATGTTTATAGCCATTGTTTAGCTGTAACAGACATTGAATTTTACTTAATCACTATATTTATTAGAAATAGAATTGAAACAATGCACAAATACCCCATACATAGGAGAAAGTAACTTATGACAATGTTTCAGTGTGACTTGGACCATTGACTATTCACACAGTAGAATTGAAACTGAAGCTTTCAGTCATCAATGCTCTTATTATACATGAAGGAATGAACACTTGTGTTAAGAGCTGCTGGAATGTAACAATGGTAAAACCTTGATTTAACAAACCTCCATTTGATGGATTTCAGAAATAACGGACAAAATTTGTTGGGTTTAAGCTTGCCCAAAATGCCCTGCATAACTAAGGGGCTTTCCATGTGGAAAATGTAATAAAATGTAGAAATTGATAGATTGATTGATTTACTGATTAAGTGAGTAAATTGATACGTGAAACAGAATTGCCAGCTATTGCTATGATCTGAATAAATTGAGTTTGGAAACAATGTAAAGTCTATTAGTTACAGAATTGTCTGTTATTGTTTAGATCATGACTAAATTTCATTCAGATTTGCTGAAGAAATAGCATTACCAAATACCCTCTTTCCTCTATTAATCCATTTCATCAATGTCTCCTTCTTCTTCCTATAACCAATTCTCTCAATAATAAGCTCATTTTTGAGCACAATGTATTTTGTCAGTTTCTGTAGAATCTGAAATAAAAACAAACTTAGATATTATATTAGGTGAATATTAAGTTAATTAAACTTAATCCATTACTTAAGAATAGTTTATTGCCAAAAATAAAATTACAGCACCAACAATGGTAACTTGCTTCTAGCAGCAATTAAGACAGTTACTTAAACAACTGGAAACCTTATTTAACCTCATTCAAGTTAGATGATAGTTTGCTTTCTATTAGAAGTCTACCTGGAGGAGGTTTGAGGCAAAGATTGCAAGATTTTATGAGTCAATGGCCATTATGTCCATATATGTTGTCCTCTGTATCTCTTTTTGCCAACCTTCAGGCTAAAGAAATGAAAAGTGGACATTAATCATTTGCAGGCATGCAGGTATTTCACAATTTTTCCTATGTAGAAAAATTCCCAAATCATTTTATGTTGAGTAACATCATGGAATAAATTAATTGTGTTGCTTTTACAGCTAGATAAATTATTAAATATGTTATTAGAGTAAGGTATGTTAAGGTTCCAATAACCAAGTTAATTGATTTAGAAAATAGGTGAATAAAGATAAGTGTTCTCACTGGGTGAATCTTTTTATAATCAGTGTAATTATTTTTTGATGGATTTAGGCAGTATGGAAATATTGGCATGTTTACTAGAGTCAATATCCCTTACAAATAATTAAGCTTTTAATGAAGCATGTAGGCTTCCTGTGCCTCATTTGTGACTATAGAGAATGTGGCACAAACAGTAAATAGTGCTTTTATAGATAAGTGGTATAAATTAGTTTGATATTGTTAATATTTGTTTTGTGCATTTATTGTTAATTTATGTTATTGCTGATTGTCATTGTTATTGGTATCAGGGTGATTATATTGATGTGACAATTGGGACTGCACTTGGTATCAGTACAATGGGAGCTGCAGCACTTGGCAATACCATCAGTGACCTGGCTGGCATAGGTTCGGCTTGGTACGTTGAGAACATTGCTGTAAAGATTGGTATTCGAGCACCTGAGCTAAGCCAGGAGCAGCTGGATCGATGGTCTTCAAGATGGTCGGCCAATGCAGTGAGTCTAAGATTACAATTATTTTTCGTTATTTCAGATTTTCTACCATGCTTTTATTTTTGGAGACTGCCTCTGTGTTGCAAAAATGCATGTGTATTGGTAGTTCTAATTTGTTGACTCGACCTGGGCACACACAGGAAGAAAACACACAATATCTTTCAGTGGACTGCACGTGTGTACACTCGCACGCATGCATGGTATCATATTGCACACACATACATGCATGCATGTATTATCATTGGACAATGTCTCCTTGAATTCAAGAATTAGATTTCTTTTTTTTTTAACAAGTCGGCCATCTCCCACCGAGGCAGGGTGACCCAAAAAGAAAGAAAATCCCCAAAAAGAAAATACTTTCATCATCACTCAACACTTTCACCTCACTCACACATAATCACTGTTTTTGCAGAGGTGCTCAGAACACAACAGTTTAGAAGCATATACGTATAAAGATACACAACATATCCCTCCAAACTGCTAATATCCAGAACCCCTCCTTTAGAGTGCAGGCATTGTACTTCCCATTTCCAGGACTCAAGTCTGGCTATACAAAAATAACCGGTTTCCCTGAATCCCTTCACTAAATATTACCCTGCTCACATACTCCAACAGATTGTCAGGTCCCAAATACCATTCGTCTCCATCACTCCTGTTGAACACACACATGCACGCCTCGGAAGCCAAGCACCTCGCCAGAACAAAACCTCCCTTACCCTCTTGTTTCCAACCTTTTCGAGGACGACCCCTACCCCACCTTACCTTCCCCTACAGATCTTAATATCTCTCCATGGCATTCTAACTTTGATCCATTCTAAATAAATGACAAAACCACCTCAAACCAACCCCTCTTCAGCCCTCGTGACTAATACTTTTATTAACCCACACCCTTCTCCTAACTTCCACACTCCGAATTTACTGCATGGATATATTTACACCACACATTGCCCATAGACATGGAACACTCCACTGCCCTCTATCTGCCCCTCGCTGCTGCACCTCACAACCCAAGCTTCACAACCCCATATAAGCGTGTTGGTACTAACTATACTTTCATACATTCCCTCTATTGCCTCCATAGATAACGTTTTTTGTCCTCCCATAAACCTCCACGCACGCACTCACCTTTTTTTCCCTCATCATTCTATGATTAACCTCATCCTTCATAAATCCATCGAAGCGCTGACACGTCAACATCCAAGTATTCTGTAAACCATTCACTTCTTTCATAGTCGTTCCACCCCAATTTAATATCCAAATTTTCTTTATGTAAATTCATGATACCCCTCATCTATGTCGAATACCACCTTACCTTTTCTAATGTTCACTTTCAACTTTCTAACCTTACACACACTCCCAGACTCATCCACTAACCATTGGCCAATTTCTCTTTAGAGAATCTTCCATAACCACAGTATCATCAGCAAAAAGCAAACTGTGTCAATTCCCATTTGTATTTAATCCCCATAATTTAATCCCACCCCTCTCCTGAACACCCTAGCAATTTACTTCTTTTATAACCCCATTTATAAATAAATTAAACAGCCATGTGCCATTACACATCCCTGTCTAAGACCTACTTTTTACTGGAAGTAGTCTCCCTTTCGTCTACAACACCCTAACCAGACCCACTATCCTCATAAAAACTCTTTACAGCATTTAGTAACTTACCACCTATTCCATATACTTGCAACATCTGCCACATTGCTCCCCTATCCACTCTATCATATGCCTTTTCTAAATCCATAAATGCAATAAAAACTTCCCTACCTTTATCTAAATACTGTTCACATATATGCTTCAATGTAAACACTTGATCTACACATCCCCTACCCACTCTGAAACCTCCTGCTTATCGGCAATCCTACATTCTGTCTTGTCTCTAATTCTTTCAATTATAACCCTACCATATACTTTTCCTGGTATACTTGTTAAATGTCTTAACCCGTAAACGGTCCAAACGTATATATACGTTTTTTCAACATTTGAAAGTATGTAAAAAAAGTAGATCTTCTTTTTGTTTTTTTACATTTGAAAATGTGTAAAAAAAACTTTATGTGTTCTTTTTTTTTTGTTAAATTTGAAAATAATGTAAAAAACATAGATCTACTTTGTAGCACATACACAATGTGAAACGTAGAACTGCTTGAGACCGTTTACGGGTTATTGGTTAAAATAATATTTCCTCCAAGTGGGGGTCTACCAATTATTGAAATGCATTTTTACATTCAGGCTTATCTACTGAAAGAATTTTGGTAAAAGCATCTGTCAGAGTATTTATAAAAGAATCCAGTCTCTTCAGTTCCCTCTACTTCTATCCCAGATAATGTTTAAATGTTCTACCTAACTGGTATGTGTATATTTGTAAATATGTAGTACACTACAGTGAGTGGTACATACTCTTTTTGTGTGTACTGCATGTGGTATGTACTCTGTGTTAATGTTTGTGAGTGTATGTGTTTGTTTGTTTTAGTGTTTGAGGCTTGATTGGGTAGGCGGGTATTAAATTATATGTGTGCGGAGACAAAGGTTTTTTTTTTGGGGGCCTGACTTACTGTTGGAGTGTTAGCAACATAACATTTATAAAGGCATTCAGGAGAAACCAGTTAGCAGGACTTGAATTCTGGAAGTGAGAAGTGCAGTGCCTGCACTTTGATGGAAGGATGGGGCTCCTGTAGATTGTAGAGTCATTTGAAGTGTGCTGTCTGGGTACATATGGATTTGACATTGTGGCGATAAGGGATATCCTTGAAAGGTAGTGTGTCCTGGCCTTTGTTTAGATGAACATAGAAATGAGTCTCCACCACTCTTTGAAATCAGAATAACCTACATGGGTTTTAGGTGCTGCTTACAAAAATATAAAGAGCAGTTCATTTGTACTGTCTTTGAATCAACACCACCTTTTAATTTTTGTACCTGTACTGTATGTTTTATCTACATATATGTATAATGTTGTCCTAGGAAAGGATGGAGGGAGGGGGTAAGGGAGGTTTTGTGGGCAAGGGGCTTGGACTTCCAGCAGGAATGCACGAGTCTGTTAAACAGAAGTAAATGGAGGCAATGGTTATTGGGGACTGATGAGCTGTTGGAGTGTGAGCAGGGTAATATTTTGTGAGTAAATCAAGGAAACTGGTTAAGCCGGACTTGGAGTCCCTGGAAATGGAAAGTACACTACCTGCACCTTTTAAAGGAGGGGGTTTAGATATTGGCAGTGTGGAGGGACATTCAAAAGTGCCGAATCTGAGTGCCACAGCAAAGACAGTGAATTAGTTATGAGTGATGGTTAAAATGTTGAATGATGATGAAAGGTTTTTCTTCTTTTTGGTCCACCCTGCACTGTGGGAAATGGCCCACCTGTTAACAAAAAAAAAAAAAAAAAAAAAAACAAACCTGGCCTGCTGTTGAAGGGCTCTGATTTAAAAATTGAAGCTTCTCTTTCCTTTTTGAATCATACCTATTTTTTTCCCATTCCCTGAGCTGTCGGTGACCTTATGAGTTTAGATGTTTCCCATGCTTATATTAATAGCTATGAATATTCAATAATTTACCCCCTATACTTTCACTTACAATCAAGAAACATATTTTTGCATTGTTTATACATATCCAAATTATGCAGTTTTATAGTTTTTTTTGTCATTTCTAGGTTTTTAAAATAAGTCTGTTAATCACTAAAACAAAAATATGTGTTTAAGAAGTGATTACTGGCTTAACCGGGTCGAGGTATTGGTGATGGTTTTTGGGGCTGCCTTCTTGGAAATTTCCCACTGCTGATTTGCCAAATCATGATGAAGGAAAGAAAACTAAAGCAAATGTTGATTTTTGTCATGGAAATTCTATCTTTTAGTTCATTGTTTGTTTTTCCATAAACCACTTAAAAGTATCAGCTAATCTTTTTTTCAATGTATATTTAATTAAGTTTGTTGATATTTTATAAGGAACCGTTTTAATAATGTACTGTACTGCTTGGGATTCCAGTGGCAAAAACATGAGGTTTTTTGACCTTCCATAGAGAGTATCATGTGCATGAGGGATAAAACCTTAGGGATTCTCACTGTTGTGCCATATGTAAGCCATTATCTGTCAAAGGGGTGACCGTAAAATAAGGAAATTGCTGAATAAAGAAGGGTCGGTGTTCAAGGTATAGTCCGACACATGAATGAAAGGAGGTTTTATACATACATTCTTCTCCAGATTATGGAAGTTATTACTTGTGTCATTCTAAAGCTTGTGTAATGGGAAAGAGATTTTTTCAGGACTATAAAATGTAAATGCCATAGGATAAGGTTTAATCCCCTCAGCTCAACTACATTTAGAGGTATGCCAGAAGACCCAGGTAAAATAAACATAGCCTCAAAATGGCAACATATGTCCCATACCTCAATGTGAACATTATTTTTAAATCACTGCCGATATAGAGTACTGCTTCCGAAACTAAGTAGGTCAGGATTCCACTCCCCTCAAAGATATATCCCCCACCTTTGAGTACCAATATGTATGATCTCTTGCCTCTTGCCAGTAAGGTATTGTTCTTCTGGTCTATAAAATTATAATACTCATCAGAGTACAGATTTTTGTGACGTTTTATCAAAGGTGCCTAAACTAAGGATGAAAGTTATGGTTGAAACAAGTGAACAGTTGGCTAGAGTTCCTAATGGAGTAATCTGAAGACCAACATACGTGGTACATAAGGTGCTAATTAGTGTTATCCGAAAATGTCTGCCGCTTCTAAAATAATAGAAAATGTGGCCACCATAGAAAAAGTCTGAGAATATATTGTTGTTGGAATCTCAAATTGCACTTCTGAAAGGTGAAGACAGCTGCAATTACCTGATGTAGATTGTTAAGTTTAAAATTAGTACAAACACTGTATTTTGGCCAAACCACTCAGGAAAATGTGGTTTCCATTACTTCAGTATACATGACTGGCAGAAGTTCTCATTGAAGGTTTTTTGGGTGACAGATTCTGACTGTCACAGGAGACGACTGTAAAATTAATGTGACCT